TAAAAAACACAAAAAACACAAGTTCAACCAATACCCAATTCTCAAGTTTAACAATTTCCACAACCTCAAGTTCAAAACCACCAAAAACTCAAGTTCAAACACACCACAAACTCAAGTTCAACAAACACAAAAACTCAAGTTCAAAAAACCACCAAAAACTCAAGATCAAACACAACACAAACTCAAGTTCAACCAATACCAATTTCACGAGTTTAATATACTTCACACCATCTAGTTCAAAAACACCACAAACTTAAGTTCAAACATGACACAAACTCAAGTTCAAAAACAACAGAAACTCAAGTTCAAACACTACACAAACCCAATTTAAAAAACAAAAAACGCAAGTTCAACCTATACCCAATTCAAGTTTAACAATTTCAACAACCTCAAGTTCAAAAACGCCACAAACTCAAGTTCAAACACGACACAAACTCAAGTTCAAAAACAACGGAAACTCAAGTTCAAAAACAACAGAAACTCAAGTTAAAAAACAACAGAAACTCAAGTTCAAACACACCACAAACTCAAGTTCAAAAACACTACAAAACTCAAGTTCAACCAAAACCCAATTCTCAAGTTTAAAAAATTCCACACCCTCAAGTTAAAAAAACCCAAAACTTCAAGTTCAAAAACAACAGAAACTCAAGTTCAAACACTACACAAACCCAATTTAAAAAACACAAAAAACGTATGTTCAACCAATACCCAATTCAAGTTTAACAATTTCAACAACCTCAAATTCAAAAACGCCACAAACTCAAGTTCAAACACGACACAAACTCAAGTTCAAAAACACCACAAACTATAGTTCAACCAAACCCAATTCTCAAGTTTAAAAAAGTCCACACCCTCAAGTTAAAAAAACCCAAAACTTCAAGTTCAAAAACAACAGAAACTCAAGTTCAAACACTACACAAACCCAATTTAAAAAACACAAAAAAAACATGTTCAACCAATACCCAATTCAAGTTTAACAATTTCAACAACCTCAAATTCAAAAACGCCACAAACTCAAGTTCAAACACGACACAAACTCAAGTTCAAAAACAACAGAAACTCAAGTTCAACAAACGCCACAAACTCAAGGCCAAACATAACACAAACTCAAGTTTAAAAAACACACAAACTCAAGTTCAAACAGGACACAAACTCAAGTTCAATAAACACACAAACTCAAGTTCAAACACGACACAAACTCAAGTTCAAAAACAACAGAAACTCAAGTTCAACAAACGCCACAAACTCAAGTTCAAACACGAAACAAAATCAAGTTCAAAAACACCACAAACTATAGTTCAACCAAAACCCAATACTCAAGTTTAAAAAATTCCACACCCTCAAGTTAAAAAAAACCACAACTTCAAGTTCAAAAACAACAGAAACTCAAGTTCAAACACTACACAAACCCAATTTGAAAAACACAAAAAACGCAAGTTCAACCAATACCCAATTCAAGTTTAACAATTTCAACAACCTCAAGTTCAAAAACGCCACAAACTCAAGTTCAAACACGACACAAACCCAAGTTCAACGAACACCAAAAACTCGAGTTCAACAAATGTAAAAACTTTTAAGTTCAACCAACCAACCAAGTTCAAACACACCAAAAACTCGAGGTCACGAAACACGCAACTCAAGTTCAAAAATACCACAAACTCAGGTTCAAACACTACACTAACCCAATTTAAAAAACACAAAAAACGCAAGTTCAACCAATACCCAATTCTCAAGTTTAACAATTTCCACAACCTCAAATTCAAAAACGCCACAAACTCAAGTTCAAACACGACACAAACTCAAGTTCAAAAACAACAGAAACTCAAGTTCAACAAACGCCACAAACTCAAGGCCAAACATAACACAAACTCAAGTTTAAAAAACACACAAACTCAAGTTCAACCAAAACCCAATACTCAAGTTTAAAAAATTCCACACCCTCAAGTTAAAAAAAACCACAACTTCAAGTTCAAAAACAACAGAAACTCAAGTTCAAACACTACACAAACCCAATTTGAAAAACACAAAAAACGCAAGTTCAACCAATACCCAATTCAAGTTTAACAATTTCAACAACCTCAAGTTCAAAAACGCCACAAACTCAAGTTCAAACACGACACAAACCCAAATTCAACGAACACCAAAAACTCGAGTTCAACAAATGTAAAAACTTTTAAGTTCAACCAACCAACCAAGTTCAAACACACCAAAAACTCGAGGTCACGAAACACGCAACTCAAGTTCAAAAATACCACAAACTCAGGTTCAAACACTACACTAACCCAATTTAAAAAACACAAAAAACGCAAGTTCAACCAATACCCAATTCTCAAGTTTAACAATTTCCACAACCTCAAGTTCAAAACCACCAAAAACTCAAGTTCAAACACATCAAAAACTCAAGTTCAACAAACACAAAAACTCAAGTTCAAAAAACCCCAAAAACTCAAGTTCAAACACACCACAAACTCAAGTTCAAAAAAACACACAAACTCAAGTTCAACCAACACCCAATTCTCAAGTTTAACAATTTCCACAACCTCAAGTTCAAAAACACCACAAATTCAAGTTCAAAAACACCACAAACTCAAGTTCAAACATGACACAACCTCAAGTTCAAAAACACAAAAAACTCAAGTTCAACCAGTACCCAATTCTCAAGTTGAACAATTTCCACAAGCTCAAGTTCAAAAACACCAAAAACTCAAGTTCAAAAACAACAGAAACTCAAGTTCAAACACTACACAAAACCAATTTGAAAAACACAAAAAATGCAAGTTCAACCAATATCCAATTCAAGTTTAACAATTTCAACAACCTCAAGTTCAACAAACGCCACAAACTCAAGTTCAAACACAAAACAAAATCAAGTTCAAAAACACCACAAACTATAGTTCAACCAAAACCCAATTCTCAAGTTTAAAAAATTCCACACCCTCAAGTTAAAAAAAAACACAACTTCAAGTTCAAAAACAACAGAAACTCAAGTTCAAACACTACACAAACCCAATTTGAAAAACACAAAAAACGCAAGTTCAACCAATACCCAATTCAAGTTTAACAATTTCAACAACCTCAAGTTCAAAAACGCCAAAAACTCAAGTTCAAACACGACACAAACCCAAGTTCAACGAACACCAAAAACTCGAGTTCAACAAATGTAAAAACTTTTAAGTTCAACCAACCAACCAAGTTCAAACACACCAAAAACTCGAGGTCACGAAACACGCAACTCAAGTTCAAAAATACCACAAACTCAGGTTCAAACACTACACTAACCCAATTTAAAAAACACAAAAAACGCAAGTTCAACCAATACCCAATTCTCAAGTTTAACAATTTCCACAACCTCAAGTTCAAAACCACCAAAAACTCAAGTTCAACAAACAACAGAAACTCAAGTTCAACAAACGCCACAAACTCAAGGCCAAACATAACACAAACTCAAGTTTAAAAAACACACAAACTCAAGTTCAAACAGGACACAAACTCAAGTTCAATAAACACACAAACTCAAGTTCAAACACGACACAAACTCAAGTTCAAAAACAACAGAAACTCAAGTTCAACAAACGCCACAAACTCAAGTTCAAACACGAAACAAAATCAAGTTCAAAAACACCACAAACTATAGTTCAACCAAAACCCAATTCTCAAGTTTAAAAAATTCCACACCCTCAAGTTAAAAAAAACCACAACTTCAAGTTCAAAAACAACAGAAACTCAAGTTCAAACACTACACAAACCCAATTTGAAAAACACAAAAAACGCAAGTTCAACCAATACCCAATTCAAGTTTAACAATTTCAACAACCTCAAGTTCAAAAACGCCACAAACTCAAGTTCAAACACGACACAAACTCAAGTTCAAACACGACACAAACCCAAGTTCAACGAACACCAAAAACTCGAGTTCAACAAATGTAAAAACTTTTAAGTTCAACCAACCAACCAAGTTCAAACACACCAAAAACTCGAAGTCACAAAACACGCAACTCAAGTTCAAAAATACCACAAACTCAGGTTCAAACACTACACTAACCCAATTTAAAAAACACAAAAAACGCAAGTTCAACCAATACCCAATTCTCAAGTTTAACAATTTCCACAACCTCAAGTTCAAAAACACCACAAACTCAAGTTCAAACATGACACAACCTCAAGTTCAAAAACACAAAAAAAATTAAGTTCAACCAGTACCCAATTCCCAATTTAACAATTTCCACAAGCTCAAGTTCAAAAACACCAAAAACTCAAGTTCAAAAACACCACAAACTCAAGTTCAAACAAGACACAAACTCAAGTTCAACAAACGACACAAACGCAAGTTCAAACATGAAACAAACTCAAGTTCAACAAACACACAAACTCAAGTTAAAAAACCCCACAAACTTAAGTTCCAACACGACCAAAACTCAAGTTCAACAAACACTAACTCAAGTTCATCCAACACCTGATTCTCAAGTTAAACAATCTCAATAAACTCAAGTTCAAAAACACCACAAAACTCTAGTTTAACCAATACCAAATTCTCAAGTTAAACAAATTCCACACCCTAAAGTTCAAACAAGACGCAAACTCTAGTTCAAAAACACCACAAACTCAAGTTCAAACACAAAACACCCTCAAGTTCAAACACACAAATTCAAGTTCAAAAAACACACAAACTCAAGATCAACCAACACCTTATTCTAAGGTTTAACAATTTCCACTACCTCAAGTTCAAAAACAACAGAAATCAAGTTTAAAAACACCACAAACTCAAGTTCAAAAATGACAAAAACTCAAGTTAAAAAACAAAAAAAAAAAAACAATTTTAACCAATACCCAATTCTCAAGTTTAACAATTTCCACAACCTCAAGTTCAAAAACACCAAAAACTCAAGTTCAACCAATACCCAATTCTCAAGTTTAACAATTTCCAAAACCTCAAGTTCAAAAACAACACATGCTAAAGTTCAAAAACACCACAAACTCAAGTTCAAAAACGACACAAACTCATGTTTAACAAAAACCACAAACTCAAGTTCAACCAACACCTGATTCTCAAGTTTAATAATTTTAACAACCTCAAGTTAAAAAACACCACAAACTCAAGATCAAACACAACACAAACTCAAGTTAAAAAAACAACAAATACTCAAGTTCAACCAATACCCAATTCTCAAGTTAAACAATTTCCACAACCTCAAGTTAAAAAAAAACACAGACTCAAGTTCAAACAGAAACAAACTCAAGTTCAAATACGACACAAACTCAAGTTCAACAAAAACCACAAACTCAAGTTCAACCAACACCTGAATCCCAAGTTTATAAATTTTCAGAACTTCAAGATCAAAAAACACATACAACAAACTCAAGTTCAAACAAGACACAAACTCAAGTTCAACAAAAACCACAAACTCAAGTTAAACCAACACCTGATTCTCAAGATTAAAAATTTTCACAATCTCAAGTTCAAATAGCACACAAACTCAAGTTAAACAAACAAAACAAACTCAAGTTCAAACACGACACAAACTCAAGTTTAACCAACACCCAAATCTCAAGTTTAACAATTGCCACAACCTCAAGTTCAACAAACACACAAAATCTAGTTCAAACACAATACAAACTCAAGTTCAAATACGACACAAACTCAAGTTCAAATACACCAAACTCAAGTTCAGCCAATACCCAATTCTCAAGTTTAACAATTTCCACAACCTCAAGTTCAAAAACACCAAAAACTCAAGTTCAACCAATACCCAATTCTCAAGTTTAACAATTTCCACACCCTCAAGTTCAAAAACACCAAAAACTAAAGTTCAAACAATACCCAATTCTCAGGTTTAACAATTTCAACAACCTCAAGTTCAAAAACAACACATGCTAAAGTTCAAAAACACCACAAACTCAAGTTCAAAAACAAAAGAAACTCAAGTTCAAAAAACACACAAACTCAAGTTCACCAAACACGCAACTCAAGTTCAATCACAACACAAACTCAGGTTCAACAAAAACCACAAACTAAACGTCAAACATGACACAAATACAAGTTCAAAAACAACAAAAACTCAAGTTCAACCAATACCCAATTCTCAAGTTTAACAATTTCCAAAACCTCAAGTTCAAAAACAACACATGCTAAAGTTCAAAAACACCACAAACTAAAGTTCAAAAATGACACAAACTCATGTTTAACAAAAACCACAAACTCAAGTTCAACCAATACCAATTTCACAAGTTTAACATACTTCACACCATCTAGTTCACAAACACCACAAACTTAAGTTCAAACATGACACAAACTCAAGTTTAAATACACAACAAACTCAAGTTCAAACATGACACAAACTCAAGTTCAAATACACAACAAACTCAAGTTCAACAATTGCCACAAACTCAAGTTCAACAAACTTAAGTTCAAGAAACACCACAAACTCAAGATCAAACACGCCACAACCTCAAGTTAAAAAAAACACAGACTCAAGTTCAACCAGAAACAAACTCAAGTTCAAATACGACACAAACTCAAGTTCAACAAAAACCACAAACTCAAGTTCAACCAACACCTGAATCCCAAGTTTATAAATTTTCAGAACTTCAAGATCAAAAAACACATACAACAAACTCAAGTTCAAACAAGACACAAACTCAAGTTCAACAAAAACCACAAACTCAAGTTAAACCAACACCTGATTCTCAAGATTAAAAATTTTCACAATCTCAAGTTCAAATAGCACACAAACTCAAGTTAAACAAACAAAACGAACTCAAGTTCAAACACGACACAAACTCAAGTTTAACCAACACCCAAATCTCAAGTTTAACAATTGCCACAACCTCAAGTTCAACAAACACACAAAATCTAGTTCAAACACAATACAAACTCAAGTTCAAATACGACACAAACTCAAGTTCAAATACACCAAACTCAAGTTCAGCCAATACCCAATTCTCAAGTTTAACAATTTCCACAACCTCAAGTTCAAAAACACCAAAAACTCAAGTTCAACCAATACCCAATTCTCAAGTTTAACAATTTCCACACCCTCAAGTTCAAAAACACCAAAAACTCAAGTTCAAACAATACCCAATTCTCAGGTTTAACAATTTCAACAACCTCAAGTTCAAAAACAACACATGCTAAAGTTCAAAAACACCACAAACTCAAGTTCAAAAACAAAAGAAACTCAAGTTAAAAAAACACACAAACTCAAGTTCACCAAACACGCAACTCAAGATCAATCACGACACAAACTCAGGTTCAACAAAAACCACAAACTAAACGTCAAACATGACACAAATACAAGTTCAAAAACAACAAAAACTAAAGTTCAACCAATACCCAATTTTAAGTTTAACAATTTCCACAACCTCAAGTTCAAAAACAACACAGACTCAAGTTAAAAAACACCACGTACTCAAGTTCAAACACAACACAAACTCCAGCTCAACAAAAACCACAAACTCAAGTTCAGCAAACACCTGATTCTCAAGTTTAAAAATTTTCACAACCTCAAGGTCAAAAAACACACAAACTCGAGTTAAAAAAATACACAAACTTAATTTCACCAAACACGCAACTCAAGTTCAAATACACCACAAACTAAAGGTAAAACATGACACAAATTCAAGTTCGAAAACAACAAAAACTAAACTTCAAACACGACACAAACTTGGGTTCAACAAACACCAAAAACTAAAGTTCAAACACGAAACAAACTCAACTTCAAAAACACCACAAACTCAAGTTCAAACACAACAAATACTCAAGTCCAACAAACTCACTAACTCAAGTTCAACCAACACCTGATTCTCAAGTTTAACAATTTCCACAACCTCAAGTTAAACAAAAAAAACAAACTCAAGTTCAAAAACACCACAAGCTCAAGTTCAAAAAAGACAAACTCAAGTTCAAACACGACACAAACTCATGTTTAACAAAAACCACAAACTCAAGTTCAACCAATACCAATTTCACAAGTTTAACATACTTCACACCATCTAGTTCACAAATTCCACAAACTTAAGTTCAAACATGACACAAACTCAAGTTTAAATACACAACAAACTCAAGTTCAAACATGACACAAACTCAAGTTCAAATACACAACAAACTCAAGTTCAACAATTGCCACAAACTCAAGTTCAACAAACTTAAGTTCAAAAAACACACAAACTCAAGTTCAACAATCACCATGAACTCAAGTTCAAACACGACACAACTCAAGTTCAACCAACACCCAAATCTCAAGTTTAACAATTGCCAATACCTCAAGTTCAAAAAACACACAAACTCAAGTTCAAACACACAACAAACTCAAGTTCAAACAATACACAATTCTCAAGTTTAAAAATTTCCACAACCTAAAGTTCAAAAACAACAGAAACTCAAGTTCAAAAAACAAACAAACTCAATTTCACCAAACACGCAAATTCAAGTTGAAAAAAACCACAAACTAAAGTTAAAACATGACACAAACTCAAGTTCAAAAACACAATACAAACTCAAGTCATACCAATACCCAATTTTCAAGTTTAACAATTTTGACAACCTTAAGTTCAAAAACAACACAGACTCAAGTTCAAAAACACAACAAACTCAAGCTCAAACACGACACAAACTCAGGTTCAAAAAAACCAAAAACTAAAGTTCAACCAACACCTGATTCTCAAGTTTAAAAATTTTCAAAAACTCAATTTCAAAAAACACACAAACTAAAGTTAAACAAACATCATGAACTTAAGTTCAGACACGAGACAAACTCAAATTCAACCAACACCCAAATCTTAAGTTTAACAATTTCCACAGCCACAAGTTCAACAAACACACAAACTCAAGTTCAAACACACAAAAACCTAAGTTTAAACACGACACAAACTCAAATTAAAAAGCAACAAAAACTCAAGTTCAACCAATACCCAATTCTCAAGTTAAAAAATCTCCACAACCTCAAGTTCAAAAACATCACAAACTCAAGTTCAAAAACACCACAAACTCAAGTTCAAACACGACACAAACTCAAGTTCAACAAACCCCACAAACTCAAGTTCCAACATGAAACAAACTCAAGTTAAAAAAACCACAAACTCAAGTTCAAACACAACACAAACTCAAGTTCAACAAACACACAAACTCAAGTTCAAAAACACCACAAACTCAAAATCAAACACGACACGAACTCAAGTTCAACAAACACACTAACTCAAGTGAAACCAATACCCAAATATTAAGTTTAAAAATTGCCACAACCTTAAGTTCAACAAACACAAAAACTCAAGTTCAAACACGCCACAAACTCAAGTTCAAACACGACACAAACTCAAGTTCAACAAACACACTAACTCAAGTGAAACCAATACCCAAATATTAAGTTAAAAAATTGCCTACCTCAAGTTCAAAAAACACACAAACTCAAGTTCAAACACGCCACAAACTCAAGTTCAAACACGCCGCAAACTCAAGTTCAAACACGAAACAAACTCAATTTAAAAAACACCAAAAACTCAAGTTCAACCAATACCCAATTCTCAAGTTTAAAAATTTTCAGAACCTCAAGTTAAAAAAAACCACAAACATAAGTTAAAACAATCCACAAACTCAAGTTCAACAAAACCCACAAACTCAAGTTCAACCAACACCTGATACTCAAGTTTAAAAATTTTCACAGCCTCAAGTTCAAAAAACACACAAACTCAAGTTAAACAAAAAACACGAACGCAAGTTCAAACACAACACAGACTCAAGTTCAACCAACACCCAAATCTCAAGTTGGTTGCCACAACCTCAAGTTCAACAATACCCACAAACTCAAGTTCAACCAACACCTGATACTCAAGTTTAAAAATTTTCACAGCCTCAAGTTCAAAAAACACACAAACTCAAGTTAAACAAACAACACGAACGCAAGTTCAAACACGACACAAACTCAAGTTAAACCAACACCCAAATCTCAAGTTGGTTGCCACAACCTCAAGTTCAACAATACCCACAAACTCAAGTTCAACCAACACCTGATACTCAAGTTTAAAAATTTTCACAGCCTCAAGTTCAAAAAACACACAAACTCAAGTTAAACAAACAACACGAACGCAAGTTCAAAAACAACAAAAACGCAAGTTCAACCAATACCCAATTCTCATGTTTAACAAATTCCACAACCTAAAGTTCAAACACTACACAAACCCAATTTGAAAAACACAAAAAACGCAAGTTCAACCAATACCCAATTCAAGTTTAACAATTTCAACAACCTCAAGTTCAAAAACGCCACAAACTCAAGTTCAAACACGACACAAACCCAAGTTCAACGAACACCAAAAACTCGAGTTCAACAAATGTAAAAACTTTTAAGTTCAACCAACCAACCAAGTTCAAACACACCAAAAACTCGAGGTCACGAAACACGCAACTCAAGTTCAAAAATACCACAAACTCAGGTTCAAACACTACACTAACCCAATTTAAAAAACACAAAAAACGCAAGTTCAACCAATACCCAATTCTCAAGTTTAACAATTTCCACAACCTCAAGTTCAAAACCACCAAAAACTCAAGTTCAAACACATCAAAAACTCAAGTTCAACAAACACAAAAACTCAAGTTCAAAAAACCCCAAAAACTCAAGTTCAAACACACCACAAACTCAAGTTCAAAAAAACACACAAACTCAAGTTCAACCAACACCCAATTCTCAAGTTTAACAATTTCCACAAGCTCAAGTTCAAAAACACCAAAAACTCAAGTTCAAAAACACCACAAACTCAAGTTCAAACAAGACACAAACTCAAGTTCAACAAACGACACAAACGCAAGTTCAAACATGAAACAAACTCAAGTTAAAAAAAACCACAAACTCGAGTTCAAACACAAAACAAACTCAAGTTCAACAAACACACAAACTCAAGTTAAAAAACCCCACAAACTTAAGTTCCAACACGACCAAAACTCAAGTTCAACAAACACTAACTCAAGTTCATCCAACACCTGATTCTCAAGTTAAACAATCTCAATAAACTCAAGTTCAAAAACACCACAAAACTCTAGTTCAACCAATACCAAATTCTCAAGTTAAACAAATTCCACACCCTAAAGTTCAAACAAGACGCAAACTCAAGTTCAAAAACACCACAAACTCAAGTTCAAACACAAAACACCCTCAAGTTCAAACACACAAATTCAAGTTCAAAAAACACACAAACTCAAGATCAACCAACACCTGATTCTAAGGTTTAACAATTTCCACTACCTCAAGTTCAAAAACAACAGAAACTCAAGTTCAAAAACACCACAAACTCAAGTTCAAAAACAACAAAAACTCAAGATTAAAAAAAAAAACAATTTTAACCAATACCCAATTCTCAAGTTTAACAATTTCCACAACCTCAAGTTCAAAAACACCAAAAACTCAAGTTCAACCAATACCCAATTCTCAAGTTTAACAATTTCCACAACCTCAAGTTCAAAAACACCAAAAACTCAAGTTCAACCAATACCCAATTCTCAAGTTTAACAATTTCCAAAACCTCAAGTTCAAAAACAACACATGCTAAAGTTCAAAAACACCACAAACTAAAGTTCAAAAATGACACAAACTCATGTTTAACAAAAACCACAAACTCAAGTTCAACCAATACCAATTTCACAAGTTTAACATACTTCACACCATCTAGTTCACAAACACCACAAACTTAAGTTCAAACATGACACAAACTCAAGTTTAAATACACAACAAACTCAAGTTCAAACATGACACAAACTCAAGTTCAAATACACAACAAACTCAAGTTCAACAATTGCCACAAACTCAAGTTCAACAAACTTAAGTTCAAGAAACACCACAAACTCAAGATCAAACACGCCACAACCTCAAGTTAAAAAAAACACAGACTCAAGTTCAACCAGAAACAAACTCAAGTTCAAATACGACACAAACTCAAGTTCAACAAAAACCACAAACTCAAGTTCAACCAACACCTGAATCCCAAGTTTATAAATTTTCAGAACTTCAAGATCAAAAAACACATACAACAAACTCAAGTTCAAACAAGACACAAACTCAAGTTCAACAAAAACCACAAACTCAAGTTAAACCAACACCTGATTCTCAAGATTAAAAATTTTCACAATCTCAAGTTCAAATAGCACACAAACTCAAGTTAAACAAACAAAACGAACTCAAGTTCAAACACGACACAAACTCAAGTTTAACCAACACCCAAATCTCAAGTTTAACAATTGCCACAACCTCAAGTTCAACAAACACACAAAATCTAGTTCAAACACAATACAAACTCAAGTTCAAATACGACACAAACTCAAGTTCAAATACACCAAACTCAAGTTCAGCCAATACCCAATTCTCAAGTTTAACAATTTCCACAACCTCAAGTTCAAAAACACCAAAAACTCAAGTTCAACCAATACCCAATTCTCAAGTTTAACAATTTCCACACCCTCAAGTTCAAAAACACCAAAAACTCAAGTTCAAACAATACCCAATTCTCAGGTTTAACAATTTCAACAACCTCAAGTTCAAAAACAACACATGCTAAAGTTCAAAAACACCACAAACTCAAGTTCAAAAACAAAAGAAACTCAAGTTCAAAAAACACACAAACTCAAGTTCACCAAACACGCAACTCAAGATCAATCACAACACAAACTCAGGTTCAACAAAAACCACAAACTAAACGTCAAACATGACACAAATACAAGTTCAAAAACAACAAAAACTCAAGTTCAACCAATACCCAATTCTCAAGTTTAACAATTTCCAAAACCTCAAGTTCAAAAACAACACATGCTAAAGTTCAAAAACACCACAAACTAAAGTTCAAAAATGACACAAACTCATGTTTAACAAAAACCACAAACTCAAGTTCAACCAATACCAATTTCACAAGTTTAACATACTTCACACCATCTAGTTCACAAACACCACAAACTTAAGTTCAAACATGACACAAACTCAAGTTTAAATACACAACAAACTCAAGTTCAAACATGACACAAACTCAAGTTCAAATACACAACAAACTCAAGTTCAACAATTGCCACAAACTCAAGTTCAACAAACTTAAGTTCAAGAAACACCACAAACTCAAGATCAAACACGCCACAACCTCAAGTTAAAAAAAACACAGACTCAAGTTCAACCAGAAACAAACTCAAGTTCAAATACGACACAAACTCAAGTTCAACAAAAACCACAAACTCAAGTTCAACCAACACCTGAATCCCAAGTTTATAAATTTTCAGAACTTCAAGATCAAAAAACACATACAACAAACTCAAGTTCAAACAAGACACAAACTCAAGTTCAACAATAACCACAAACTCAAGTTAAACCAACACCTGATTCTCAAGATTAAAAATTTTCACAATCTCAAGTTCAAATAGCACACAAACTCAAGTTAAACAAACAAAACGAACTCAAGTTCAAACACGACACAAACTCAAGTTTAACCAACACCCAAATCTCAAGTTTAACAATTGCCACAACCTCAAGTTCAACAAACACACAAAATCTAGTTCAAACACAATACAAACTCAAGTTCAAATACGACACAAACTCAAGTTCAAATACACCAAACTCAAGTTCAGCCAATACCCAATTCTCAAGTTTAACAATTTCCACAACCTCAAGTTCAAAAACACCAAAAACTCAAGTTCAACCAATACCCAATTCTCAAGTTTAACAATTTCCACACCCTCAAGTTCAAAAACACCAAAAACTCAAGTTCAAACAATACCCAATTCTCAGGTTTAACAATTTCAACAACCTCAAGTTCAAAAACAACACATGCTAAAGTTCAAAAACACCACAAACTCAAGTTCAAAAACAAAAGAAACTCAAGTTCAAAAAACACACAAACTCAAGTTCACCGAACACGCAACTCAAGATCAATCACAACACAAACTCAGGTTCAACAAAAACCACAAACTAAACGTCAAACATGACACAAATACAAGTTCAAAAACAACAAAAACTCAAGTTCAACCAATACCCAATTCTCAAGTTTAACAATTTCCAAAACCTCAAGTTCAAAAACAACACATGCTAAAGTTCAAAAACACCACAAACTAAAGTTCAAAAATGACACAAACTCATGTTTAACAAAAACCACAAACTCAAGTTCAACCAATACCAATTTCACAAGTTTAACATACTTCACACCATCTAGTTCACAAACACCACAAACTTAAGTTCAAACATGACACAAACTCAAGTTTAAATACACAACAAACTCAAGTTCAAACATGACACAAACTCAAGTTCAAATACACAACAAACTCAAGTTCAACAATTGCCACAAACTCAAGTTCAACAAACTTAAGTTCAAGAAACACCACAAACTCAAGATCAAACACGCCACAACCTCAAGTTAAAAAAAACACAGACTCAAGTTCAACCAGAAACAAACTCAAGTTCAAATACGACACAAACTCAAGTTCAACAAAAACCACAAACTCAAGTTCAACCAACACCTGAATCCCAAGTTTATAAATTTTCAGAACTTCAAGATCAAAAAACACATACAACAAACTCAAGTTCAAACAAGACACAAACTCAAGTTCAACAATAACCACAAACTCAAGTTAAACCAACACCTGATTCTCAAGATTAAAAATTTTCACAATCTCAAGTTCAAATAGCACACAAACTCAAGTTAAACAAACAAAACGAACTCAAGTTCAAACACGACACAAACTCAAGTTTAACCAACACCCAAATCTCAAGTTTAACAATTGCCACAACCTCAAGTTCAACAAACACACAAAATCTAATTCAAACACAATACAAACTCAAGTTCAAATACGACACAAACTCAAGTTCAAATACACCAAACTCAAGTTCAGCCAATACCCAATTCTCAAGTTTAACAATTTCCACAACCTCAAGTTCAAAAACACCAAAAACTCAAGTTCAACCAATACCCATTTTCTCAAGTTTAACAATTTCCACACCCTCAAGTTCAAAAACACCAAAAACTCAAGTTCAAACAATACCCAATTCTCAGGTTTAACAATTTCAACAACCTCAAGTTCAAAAACAACACATGCTAAAGTTCAAAAACACAACAAACTCAAGTTCAAAAACAAAAGAAACTCAAGTTCAAAAAACACACAAACTCAAGTTCACCAAACACGCAACTCAAGATCAATCACAACACAAACTCAGGTTCAACAAAAACCACAAACTAAACGTCAAACATGACACAAATACAAGTTCAAAAACAACAAAAACTCAAGTTCAACCAATACCCAATTCTCAAGTTTAACAATTTCCAAAACCTCAAGTTCAAAAACAACACATGCTAAAGTTCAAAAACACCACAAACTAAAGTTCAAAAATGACACAAACTCATGTTTAACAAAAACCACAAACTCAAGTTCAACCAATACCAATTTCACAAGTTTAACATACTTCACACCATCTAGTTCACAAACACCACAAACTTAAGTTCAAACATGACACAAACTCAAGTTTAAATACACAACAAACTCAAGTTCAAACATGACACACACTCAAGTTCAAATACACAACAAACTCAAGTTCAACAATTGCCACAAACTCAAGTTCAACAAACTTAAGTTCAAGAAACACCACAAACTCAAGATCAAACACGCCACAACCTCAAGTTAAAAAAAACACAGACTCATGTTCAACCAGAAACAAACTCAAGTTCAAATACGACACAAACTCAAGTTCAACAAAAACCACAAACTCAAGTTCAACCAACACCTGAATCCCAAGTTTATAAATTTTCAGAACTTCAAGATCAAAAAACACATACAACAAACTCAAGTTCAAACAAGACACAAACTCAAGTTCAACAATAACCACAAACTCAAGTTAAACCAACACCTGATTCTCAAGATTAAAAATTTTCACAATCTCAAGTTCAAATAGCACACAAACTCAAGTTAAACAAACAAAACGAACTCAAGTTCAAACACGACACAAACTCAAGTTTAACCAACACCCAAATCTCAAGTTTAAATATTGCCACAACCTCAAGTTCAACAAACACACAAAATCTAGTTCAAACACAATACAAACTCAAGTTCAAATACGACACAAACTCAAGTTCAAATACACCAAACTCAAGTTCAGCCAATACCCAATTCTAAAGTTTAACAATTTCCACAACCTCAAGTTCAAAAACACCACAAACTTAAGTTCAAACATGACACAAACTCAAGTTTAAATACACAACAAACTCAAGTTCAAACACGACACAAACTCAAGTTCAACAAAACCCACAAACTCAAGTTCAAACAATACCTGATGCTCAAGTTGAACAATTGCCACAACCTCATGTTCAACAAGCACACAAACTCAAGTTCAAAAACACCACAAACTCAAGTTTAAACACGACACAAACTCAAATTCAACAAACGCCACAAACTCAAGTTCAAACATGACACAAACTCAAGTTCAAACACGACACAAACTCAAGTTGAAACACAACACAAACTCAAGTTCAGCCAATACCCAATTCTCAAGTTTAACAATTTCCACAACCTCAAGTTCAAAAACACCAAAAACTCAAGTTCAAACAATACCCAATTCTCAGGTTTAACAATTTCAACAACCTCAAGTTCAAAAACAACACATGCTAAAGTTCAAAAACACCACAAACTCAAGTTCAACCAACACCTGATACTCAAGTTTAAAAATTTTCACAGCCTCAAGTTCAAAAAACACACAAACTCAAGTTAAACAAACAACACGAACGCAAGTTCAAACACGACACAAACTCAAGTTCAACCAACACCCAAATCTTAAGTTGGTTGCCACAACCTCAAGTTCAAACACGCCACAAACTCAAGTTCAAACACACCACAAACTCAAGTTCAACAATTGCACAAACTCAAGTTCAAACACGAAACAAACTCAATTTAAAAAACACCAAAAACTCAAGTTCAACCAATACCCAATTCTCAAATTTAACAATTTCCACAATGTCAAGTTAAAACAAAACACACACTCAAGTTAGAAAAAACCACAAACTCAAGTTCAAACACGACACAAACTCAAGTTCAACAAAACCCACAAACTCAAGTTCAAACAATACCTGATGCTCAAGTTGAACAATTGCCACAACCTCAAGTTCAACAAGCACACAAACTCAAGTTCAAAAACACCACAAACTCAAGTTTAAACACGACACAAACTCAAATTCAACAAACGCCACAAACTCAATTTCAACCAACACCTGATTCTCACGTTTAAAAATTTTCACAACCTCAAGTTCAAAAAACACACAAATTCAAGTTAAACAAATAACAGGAACGCAAGTTCAAAAACAACACAAACTCAAGTTCAACCATAACCCAAATCTCAAGTTTAACAATTGTCAAAACCTCAAGTACAACAAACACACAAACTCAAGTTAAAAAACACACCACAAACTCAAGTTTAAACACGACACAAACTCAAGTTCAAAAACAACAAAAACCCAAGTTCAACCAATACCCAATTCTCATGATTAACAAATTCCACAACCTAAAGTTCAAAAACACCACAAACCCAAGTTCAACAACACCACAAACTCAAGTTCAACAAACACACTAACTCAAGTTCAACAGACAACTGATTCTAAAGTTTAACAATTTCCACAACCTCAAGTTCTACAAACAAAAGACTCAAGTTCAAAAACCACCACAAACTCAAGTTAAAACACAACGAAAACCCAAGTTCAAGACACACAAAATCAAGTTTGACAATTGCCACAACCTCAAGTCCAAACAATTCCACACCCTCAAGTTCAAAAACACCACAAACTCAAGTTCAAACACGACACAAACTGAAGTTTAACAAATGCCAAAAACTCAAATTCAAACATGAAACAAACTCAAGTTAAAAATTATCACTAACTCAAGTTTAAACACAACACAAACTCAAGTTCAACAAACACACAAACTCAAGTTCAAACATGACACAAACTCAAGTTTAAACACGACACAAACTCAAGTTAAAAAAAATCAGGAACTCAAGTTCAACCAATACCCAATTCTCAAGTTTAACAATTTTCACAACTTCAAGTTCAAAAACAACACAGACTCAAGTTAAAAAAAAACACAAACTGAAGTTCAAACACGACACAACCTCAAGTTCAACAAAAACCACAAACTCAAGTTCAACCAACACCTGATTCTCACGTTAAAAAATTTTCACAACCTCAAGTTCAAAAAACACACAAATTCAAGTTAAACAAATAACAGGAACGCAAGTTCAAAAACAACACAAACTCAAGTTCAACCATAACCCAAATCTCAAGTTTAACAATTGTCAAAACCTCAAGTACAACAAACACACAAACTCAAGTTAAAAAACACACCACAAACTCAAGTTTAAACACGACACAAACTCAAGTTCAAAAACAACAAAAACTCAAGTTCAACCAATACCCAATTCCAAGTTTAAAAATTTTCACAACCTGAAGTTCAAAAACAACACAGTCTGAAGTTAAAAAAAACACAAACTCAAGTTCAAACACAACACAAACTCAAGTTAAACAAACACCCAAAACTCAAGTTTGATCACATCACAAACTCAAGTTCAACAAACACACTAACTCAAGTTCAACAGACAACTGATTCTGAAGTTTAACAATTTCCACAACCTCAAGTTCTACAAACAAAAGACTCAAGTTCAAAAACCACCACAAACTCAAGTTAAAACACAACGAAAACCCAAGTTCAACAGACACACAAAATCAAGTTTAACAATTGCCACAACCTCAAGTCCAAACAATTCCACACCCTCAAGTTCAAAAACACCACAAACTCAAGTTCAAACACGACACAAACTGAAGTTTAACAAATGCCAAAAACTCAAATTCAAACATGAAACAAACTCAAGTTAAAAATTATCACTAACTCAAGTTTAAACACAACACAAACTCAAGTTCAACAAACACACAAACTCAAGTTCAAACATGACACAAACTCAAGTTCTACAAACACACTAACTTAAGTTCAAACACGACACAAACTCAAGTTCAACAAACACACTAACTCAAGTTTAACAATTGCCACAACCTCATGTTCAACAAATTCCACAAACTCAAATTCAAAAACAACACAGACTCAAGTTCAAACACAACACAATCTCAAGTTCATCCAACACCAAAATCTCAAGTTTAACAATTGCCACAACCTCAAGTTCAACAAACACACAAACTCAAGTTCGGCAGACAACTGATTCTCAAGTTTAACAATTTCCACAACCTCAAGTTCAAAAACAACAGACTCAAGTTCAAACACAACACAAACTCAAGTTCAACAAATGCCCAAAACTCAAATTCAAACACAACACAAACTCAAGTTCAACAAATGCCCAAAACTAAAATTCAAACACAACACAAACTCAAGTTCAACAAACACACAAACTCAAGTTTAACAAATGCCACAACCTCAAGTTCAAACCATTCCACACCCTCAAGTTCAAAAACACCACATACTCAAGTTCAAACACGAAACAAACTCAAGTTCAACAAATGCCAAAAACTCAAATTCAAACACGAAACAAACTCAAGTTCAAAAACACCACAAACTTAAGTTCAAACACAACACAAACTCAAGTTCAACAAACACACAAAATCAAGTTCAAACATGACACAAACTCAAGTTCAACAAACACACTAACTTAAGTTCAAACACGACACAAACTCAAGTTCAACAAACACACTAACTCAAGTTTAACAATTGCCACAATCTCATGTTCAACAAATTCCACAAACTCAAATTCAAAAACAACACATACTCAAGTTCAAACACGACACAATCTCAAGTTCATCCAACACCAAAATCTCAAGTTTAACAATTGCCACAACCTCAAGTTCAACAAACACACAAACTCAAGTTCAAACACAACACAAACTCAAGTTCAACAAATGCCAAAAACTCAAATTCAAACACGAAACAAACTCAAGTTAAAAAACACCACAAACTCAAGTTCAAACACAACACAAACTCAAGTTCAACAAACACACAAACTCAAGTTTGACAATTGCCACAACCTCAAGTTCAAACAATTCCACACCCTCAAGTTCAAAAACACCACAAACTCAAGTTCAAACACAACACAAACTCAAGTTCAACAAATGCCAAAAACTCAAATTCAAACACGAAAAACAAACTCAAGTTAAAAAACACCACAAACTCAAGTTCAAACACAACACAAACTCAAGTTCAACAAACACACAAAGTCAAGTTCAAACACAAAATAAAACTCAAGTTCAACAAACACACAAACTCAAGTTTGACAATTGCTACAACCTCAAGTTCAAACAATTCCACACCCTCAAGTTAAAAAACACCACAAACTCAAGTTCAAACACAACACAAACTCAAGTTCAACAAACACACAAACTCAAGTTTGACAATTGCCACAACCTCAAGTTCAAACAATTCCACACCCTCAAGTTCGAAAACACCACAAACTCAAGTTCAAACAATTCCACACCCTCAAGTTCAAAAACACCACAAACTAAAGTTCAAACACGACACAAACTGAAGTTTAACAAATGCCAAAAACTCAAATTCAAACACGAAACAAACTCCAGTTAAAAAACACCACAAACTCAAGTTCAAACACAACACAAACTCAAGTTAAACAAACACACAAACTCAAGTTCAAACATGACACAAACTCAAGTTCAACAAACACACAAACTCAAGTTCAACAAACACAAACTCAAGTTCAAACATGACACAAACTCAAGTTCAACAAACACACAAACTCAAGTTCAACAATGCCACAAACTCAAGTTCAAACACAACACAAACTCAAGTTCAACAAACACACAAACTTAAGTTAAAAAACACCACAAACTCAAGTTGAAACACGACACAAACTCAAATTCAACAAACACACAAACTCAAATTCAACTCCAACTCCTAATTCTCAAGTTTAACAATTTCCACAACCTTAAGTTCAAAAACAACAGAAACTCAATTTAAAAAAAAAGCAAACTCAAGTTCACCAAACACACAAATTCAAGTTCAAAAACGACACAAACTCAAGTTCAAAAACGACACAAACTAAAGTTCAAAAACACCAAAGACTCAAGTTCAAACAAGAAACACAAACTCAAGTTCAAAAACACCAAAAAGTAAAGTTCAAACAAGACACAAACTCAAGTTAAATGAACACCACACAGTCAAGTTCAAACACGACAGAAAGTCAAGTTAAACAAACAACACAAACTCATGTTCAAACAGGACACAAACTCATGTTCAACCAACAGTCAAATCTAAAGATTAACAATTGCCAAAAACTCAAGTTAAAAAACAACAAAAATTCAAGTTAAAACACGCCACAAACTCCAGTTAGACAAGCAAACAAACTCAAGTTCAACAATTGCCACCAACTTAAGTTCAGGGAAAAATACAGACTCAAGTTCAAAAAAATGCCAAAATTTCAAATTCAACAAATGACCTTAACTCACATTTAACACTTGCCAAAAACTCAAGTTCAACAAACTCAAGTTCAAAAATTGCAACAAACTCAAGTTCAAAAAACACACAAATTCAAATTCAAAAACACCACAACACCGAATCTGAAGTTCAACCAACACCCAAATCTCAAGTTTAACAATTGCAACAACTTCAAGTTCAAAGACAACAGAAACTCAAATTCAAAAACTCCACAACTCAAGTTAAAAAAACCACAAAAATTTAAGTTCAAAAATACCACAATCTCAAGTTCAAACACGACACAAAGTAAGGTTCAACAAACACACAAACTCAAGTTTAACCATTACCCAATTCTCAGGTTTAACAATTTCCACATCCTCAAGTTCAAAAAAACCACAAACTAAAGTTCTAAACGACACAAACTTAAGTTCAACAAACACACGAACTCAAGTTCAATCAATACCCAATTCTCATGTTTAAAAAATTCAAAAACCTCAAGTTCAGAAACAAAACAAAATCAAGTTCAAACACGCCAAAAACTCAATTTCAACATACAGACAAACTCAAGTTCAAAAGCACTCCACAAACTCAAGTTCAAACACGCCACAAACTCAAGTTCAACAAACACAAAAACTCAAGTTCGAAAACACCACGAACTCAAGTTCAAACACGCAACAAACTCAAGTTCAATCAACACCGAAATCTCAAGTTTAACAATTTCCACAACCTCAAGTTCAAAAACCACAGAAACTCAAGTTCAAACATACCACAAACTCAAATTCAAAAAAAGCCACAATCTCAATTTCAACCAACACCCATATCTCAAGTTTAACAATTGCCAAAACCTAAAGTTCAGAGAAAAATACAGACTCAAGGTTAACAATTTCCACAAGCTCAAGTTCAAACACGACACAAATTCAAGTTCAAACACGACACAAACTCAAACAACACCCAAATATCAAGTTTAACATTTGCCAAAACCTCAAGTTCGAAAACACCACAAACTCACGTTCAAACATGCAAAAACTCAAGTTCAACAAACACACAAACTCAATTTCAAAAACACCACAAACTCAAGTTCTAAACGACAAAAACTCAAGTTCAAACACACAAACTCAAGTTCAACCAATGCCCAATTCGTAAGTTTAACAATTTCCACAACCTCAAGTTAAAAAAAAACAAAAACAAAAAAGTTCAGACACACCACAAACTCAAGTTCAAAAAACACACAGACTCAAGTTCAAGTATAACCAGAAAATCTAGTTCGAACACTTCACAAACTCAAGTTCAAAAACACCACAATCTCAAGTTCAACCAACACCAAAGTCACAAGTTTAACAATTGCCACAAACTTCAGTTCAAAAAACACACAAGCTCAAGATCAAAAACACAACAAACTCAAGTTCAAACACGATACACAAACTCAAGTACAACAAACGCCACAAATTCAAGTTCAAATATTGCCAGCACCTAAAGTTCAGAGAAAAATACAGATTCAAGGTTAACAATTGCCACAAACTCAAGTTCAACAAACACCACAAGCTTAAGTTCAAAAAATGCCAAAATTTCAAATTCAACAAATGACCTATACTCACATTAAACAATTGCCACAAACTTAAGTTCAAAAAACACACAAACTCAAGTTCAAAAACACCACAAACTTAAGTCCGAAAAACACACAAACTCAAGTTCAAAAACACCACAAACTCAAGTTCAAACAACACACAAATCTCAAGTTTAAAAAACACACAAACTCACGTTCAAAAACACCAAAAACTCAAGTTCAAAAAACACACAAAATCAAGTTCAAAAACACCACAAAGTCAAGTTCAAACAAGACACAAAGTCAAGTTAAATGAACACCACAAATTTCAACAAATGTCAAAGTTTTAAGTTCAACCAACACCCAAATCTAAAGCTTAACAATTGCCAAAACCTCAAATTAAAAAACACCAAAAATTCAAGTTAAAACACGCCACAAACTCAAGTTCAACAAACGCCACAAACTCAAGTTCAAAAACACCACAAATCAAGTTCAAAAATCACAAAAACTTAAGTTCAAAAACAACAGAAACTCAAGTTAAAACACGCCACAAACTCAAGTTCAAAAACACCACAAACTCAAGTTCAAACAACACACAAAGTTTAACAATTGCCACAAATTTAAGTTTAAATAAACACACAAACTAAGGTTCAAAAACACCAAAGACTCAAGTTCAAACAAGAAACACAAACTCAAGTTCAAAAACACCACAAAGTTCAACAAATGTCAAAGTTTTAAGTTCAACCAACACCCAAATCTAAAGATTAACAATTGCCAAAAACTCAAGTTAAAAAACAACAAAAATTCAAGTTAAAACACGCCACAAACTCAAGTTAGACAAACAAACAAACTCAATTTCAACCAGCACCCAAATCTTAAGTGTAACATTTGCCACAACCTCAAGTTAAAAAACAACAGTAACTCAAGTTCAAACACGACACAAACTCAAGTTCAACCAAATCCCAAGTCTCTAGTTTAACAATTTCAACAACCTCAAGTTCAAAAAACCAACAGAAACTCAAGTTCAAACACGCCACAAACTCAAGTACAACAAACGCCACAAACTCAAGTTCAACAATTGCCACCAACTAAAGTTCAGGGAAAAATACAGACTCAAGTTCAACAATTGCCACAAACTTAAGTTCAACAAACACCACAATCTTAAATTCAAAAAATGCCAAAATTTCAAATTCAACAAATGACCAAAACTCACATTTAACAATTGCCAAAAACTCAAGTTCAACAAACTCAAGTTCAAAAATTGCAACAAACTCAAGTTAAAAAAACACACAAATTCAAGTTCAAAAACACCACAACACCGAATCTGAAGTTCAACCAACACCCAAATCTCAAGTTTAACAATTGCAACAACTTCAAGTTCAAAGACAACAGAAACTCAAATTCAAAAACTCCACAAACTCAAGTTAAATGAACACAAAAATTCAAGTTCAAAAACACCACAATCTCAAGTTCAAACACGACACAAACTAAGGTTCAACAAACACACAAACTCAAGTTTAACCATTACCCAATTCTCAGGTTTAACAATTTCCACATCCTCAAGTTCAAAAACACCACAAACTCAAGTTCTAAACAACACAAACTAAAGTTCAACAAACACACGAACTCAAGTTCAATCAATACCCAATTCTCATGTTTAACAAATTCAAAAACCTCAAGTTCAGAAACAAAACAAAATCAAGTTCAAACACGCCAAAAACTCAATTTCAACATACAGACAAACTCAAGTTCAAAAACACGCCACAAACTCAAGTACAACAAACGCCACAAATTCAAGTTCAACAATTGCCACCAACTAAAGTTCAGAGAAAAATACAGACTCAAGGTTAACAATTGCCACAAACTCAAGTTCAACAAACATCACAAGCTGAAGTTCAAAAAATGCCAAAATTTCAAATTCAACAAATGACCTATACTCACATTAAACAATTGCCATAAACTCACGTTCAACAAACTCAAGTTCAAAAATTGCAACAAACTCAAGTTCAAAAACACCACAAACTTAAACACCGAAACTTTATTTCAACCAACACCCAAATCTCAAGTTTAACAATTGCCACAACTTCATGTTCAAAAACAACAGAAACTCATATTCAAAGACACCAAAAACTCAAGTTAAAAAAAAACCATACAAATTCAAGATCACAAAACAGCACAATATTAAGTTCAAACACGACACAAACTCAGGTGCAAAAAAACCACAAAATCAAGTTCAAACACGCCACAAACTCAAGTTTAACAATTGCCACTAAATAAAGGACACTAAAAACCAAAGACTCAAGTTCAAAACTCAAGTTAAAAAAAAACAAAAACTCAAGTTCAGACACACCACAAACTCAAGTTCAAAAAACACACAGACTCAAGTTCAAAAATAACCAGAAAATCTAGTTCAAACACTTCACAAACACACAAACTCAAGTTTAACCAATACCCAATTCTCACCTTTAACAATTACCACAACCTCAAGTTCAAAAACACACAAACTCAAGTTCAAAAACACCACAACCTAGAGTGTAAACACGACACAAACTCAAGTTTAAAAAAACCACAAACTCAAATGCAACATTTGCCACAAACTTAATTTCAACATACTCAAGTTCATAAGTTGCCACAAACTTTTGTTAAAAAACCACACAAATTCTAGTTCAAAAAAATCCAAAAACAAAAGTTCAAACAAGACACAAACTCAAGATCAACCAACACCCAAACCTCAAGTTTAACAATTGCCACAACCTCAAGTTCAAAGACAACAGATACTCAAGTTCAAACACGCCACAAACTCAAGTTCAAATACGACACAAACTCAAGTTCAAAAACACCACAAACTCAAGTTCAACAAATGCCACAAACTCAAGTTCAAACACATCACAAACTCAAGTTCAACAAATGCCACAAACTCAAGTTCAAAGATGCCACCAACTAGAGTTCACTAAAAACCACAAACTCAAGTTCAACAAACTCAAGTTCATAAATTGCCACAAACTCAAGATAAAAAACACACAAACTGAAATTCAAACATGACACAAACTCAAGTTCAAAAACACCACAAACTCAAGTTCAACCAAAACCCAGATCTCAAGTTTAACAATTGCCACAACCTCTAGTTCAAAAACAACACAAACTCAAGTTCAAACACGCCACAAACTCATTTTCAAACATGCCACAAACTCAAGTTTAACAATTGCCACTAAATAAAGGACACTAAAAACCAAAGACTCAAGTTCAAAACTCAAGTTAAAAAAAAACAAAAACTCAAGTTCAGACACACCACAAACTCAAGTTCAAAAAACACACAGACTCAAGTTCAAAAATAACCAGAAAATCTAGTTCAAACACTTCACAAACACACAAACTCAAGTTTAGCCAATACCCAATTCTCAAGTTTAACAATTTCCACAACCTTAAGTTCAAAAACAACACAAACTCAAGTTCAAAAACACCACAAACTCAATTCAAAAATCACCACAAACTCAAGTTCATACAGGACACAAACTCAAGTTCAAAAAACAGACAAACTCAAGTTCAACCAACACCCGATTCTCAGGTTTAACAATTTCCACAGCCTCAAGTTTAAAAAACACCACAAACTCAAGTTGAAACACGCCTTAAACTCAAGTTCAAACACTTCACAAACTCAAGTTCAAAAACACCACACAAACTGAAGTTCAAAAACGACACAAACTCAAGTTCAACAAACACAACAAGTCAAGTTCAAGCAATACCCGATCCTCAAGTTCAACAATTTCCACAAACTTAAGTTCAAAAACACCAGAACCTCAAGTTCAAAAAACATAATAAACTCAAGTTCAAATATGCCACAAACTCAAGTTTAATGAACACCTCAAACTCAAGTTCAACCAACACTCGATTCTCAAGTTTAACAATTGCCACAACCTTAAAAAAAACACAAACTCAAGTTCAAACACTTCACAAACTCAAGTTCAACAAACGCCACAAACTCAAGTTCAACAAACGCCACAAACTCAAGTTCAACAATTGCCACCAACTAAAGTTCACTAAAACCACAAACTCAAGTTCAACAATTGCCAAAAAATCAAGCCAAACAAACTCAAGTTCATAAGTTGCCACAAACTTCAAAAACGACACAAACTCAAGTTCAACAAACAAAACTAACTATTTAGACTAATTTTGAGGTGTTTGAGAGGTTTTTTGTAGACTTACCCTAGTGGTCCTAAGTTGTTGTTGATGTGAGGCGTTTCTTCTCCAGTAGTCTAAAATCTGTTGGAGGGGGGAAAAGGTTCCAGCTGTCCAGCCGCGGCGGCAGCAGGGTGTCTGAAGTCCGGGGTCCTCGGCAGGGGAAAGAAGATCGGCGCTCCGCGGGAAGGTTTGCTGGGACTCGGTGCCGTCGGCGGGTCGAAGCTCGGTGGTGGGCGGCTTGGAGTGACGGAGGTGCGGCGTCTTCTTTCAGTTGGCGGCGCGGCGTCTTCCTCGATGGTGGTCCGTCTTCTTGGTCCAGTGGTCAGTGCTTTGTCTCAATTACAGGAACCGTAATCGCTCTTTAGTGCACAGCACATAAATGTGCTTTAGACAGGAGAAGACATCCCCAGAGTTGGGCTCGAGTCATGGTTTTTGCTGTTCCTCTCAGACATGGTTGTGTTCTCTTCTCGATGTTTGTATTCCAGAATGGATATCTCTTGGTTGTATTTTAAACTTTCAAGTTGTTTTAAGTTAATTTTAGTGTAGTTTATTGTTTTAAATTGAGTTTTGCTACATTAAATTTGTATGCAATCGCAAGGGATTGTGGGTATTTTAGTTCTGAGGGATGAGAGCCTAAGGAATCAATCTTCATGTTACAGCAAAGGATTGTGGGTAAAACCGTGAGTGAGTGAGGTACTTCCTTTCTGGCATGAGAGCCTTGGGAATCAATCTCCCTGTTGCAGCAAAGGATTGTGGGTAAAACCGTGAGTGAGGGAGGTACATTTTTCCTGGCATGAGAACCTCAGGAGTCAGTCCTTCCTAAGAAAAAAGAGGGGAGGGGGGAAGAAAAACAAAAGCACGGGAACCCTAAAATAAAATAAAATAAAATAATATAATATAATATAAAACAATGAAAAAATGAAAAAATAAAAGAAGAACAAAAGTGGATTGCAAAAGGGAAAGGGGAAGAAAAAAGGAAAAAAAGAAGTGTCAAGAGCAAATAGCAAAAATCAGAAGTGAGCTTAAAAACAGAGAACAGTTCCCTAAAAGAAAGACAGAAATGTAAATCTGATCAATGTCCTAAGGGAAAATCTGTACGTGTGTGTGTGTGTTCTTTTTTGCTAGCTTAGTCTGGTGTCACTGATGGTCAGTTATTGATAAGTATTTATTATTTAAATTTTTGATGAAGTTGTTTGTAGTGGGGTTAGCCGGCTAATTTTAGAGTGTTAAAAAAGATGTTAGAGGGGGAGGATTTAGGGGGCACGGCGGTTCCCCTTCAGGTCTCTCTTAATCCTCCGTATAGGTGACCCAACAGGGGTTACCCCCCGGCCGGGGTAGGCCTAGGCTGAAGATCACCTATTTGTCCTCTGTGAAGGTGAAAATAAAGGGGCAGGGGAGGGAATAAGAAAGGGGGGGTGTTAGAGAGAGGGGGAGAGATGAGGGCGAGAGATGAGGGAGAGAGATGAGGGAGGGAGGGAGAGAGAGAGAGAGAGAGAGAGAGAGAGAGAGAGGTGTGTGTGTGTGTGAGAGAGAGAGAGAGAGAGAGAAGGGAAGAGGGAGAGGGGGGTTTAAGGGAGAGGTGGAGATGGTGGAAAATAAAGATTGGTGAGGGGGATTTGGTGGCGGATGAAACATCCCATAGCTCCCCAGCTCTCACCATCCATGTGAGGAGAGTGAGCAAGGGACATAGTCCCCCGACCCGACTAGGTCTAGGCTCTGCTCTCCTCACGGTCCTCACAAGATACAAAGAGACATGTATACGTGGAAGTGAGAGTTCTCATGGCAGAGTTTTGGGTTTGGTTTGAGCTGAGTTGGTCAGTCGATAATTGATTACTATTTTAAGTTCTAAAAGTAGATAGAGTCAAAAAGTCACAGAGGATTGTGGTGGGAGCAGGTGGTCCGTCTGGCACCATTCTGCTCATGCAGGGATTCGAGTGATAGAAAGAGAATAGATCTTGCCACCGTGACTCGCCATTGAGACTCTCCTCACCTGCTGGTTTTCATCCTCTGATAGGAGAGAGAGGTACAGATCAGGAGAGAGGGAGAAAAGGAGGGGGGCAGGGTGGGGTCAGGAGTTAATTTGTCTTGAAAAGTATTTATCTTTTTGTCATTGCTGTTAGGGTTTAGATGTTTTTTGTTTAGTTATCTGTGGAATGTAGTGTTAGTATAGGTTCCAAGGTGGAGGATTCTTTGGAATTCACTCTCACCCTTGAACCTGGAAGATCTTAGATTCTATAAAGGGGGGGAAAGGGGGGGGGGGTGAGAGGTTGTGTGCACAGAAGAAGCATGAGCTCAGACTATTCTCGGAATGATATTGTGACAAGTCTGTCCGAAGGCAACTGGCTGGTTAGGTGTGGGAAAGACATACAGTGATAGCCCCTGCTTTCGTAAGTTGACTTGGCGGTTTGGGGTAGGCTGATCAAGGGCTTGCACTGGCTGGCGCATGTCGACATATCACATGTTCCCAGTCAAGTCTCCAAGCTCAATCTGTGTGTAAAAGTTATGTGTTGGTAGGAAGTTTAATGACTCAGCTCAATTGGTATGCTATGCTGTCTATCTTTTAGACTATGTGTTTGTAGAGCAAAATTATGTATATATTATATTACAGGGCTAGGGTAAGGTTAAAGGTTTTTGGCGTTAGGGTTAAAATCACTGTCCAAAACCTTTGTAGGAACTCTTTTCCAACCTTTTGGAGTTAGCTAGACCAAAAAAAAAAAAATGAAAAATGAAAAAAAAAATGTTTGGGGTGTGAAGGCTTCCTTAAGTTAATACCTGGGTATTAGGTTGGGGGATAGGGTAAGGTTTAAGGTTTTGAGCGTTAGGGTTAAAAACACTGTCCAATATTTTTGGGGAACATGTTTCAGACCTTGTAGAGTTAGTTAGACCAAAAAAAATAAAAAATAAAAAATAAAAAATAAAAATTTTGGTTTGGTAGGGCATCCTTAAGGTAATACCCGGGTATAAGGTTACAGGGCTAGGTAAAGGTTAAAGGTTTTTGTTGTTAGGGTTAAAATCACTGTCCAATATTTTTAAGGAACATGTTTCAGACCTTTTGGAGTCAGTTAGACCAAAAAAAAAAACGAAAAATGAAAAAAAAAATGTTTGGGGTGTTAAGGTTTCCTGAAGGTAAAACCCGGGTATTAGGTTACGGGGCTATGGTAAGATTTAAGGTTTTTGGCTTTAGGGTTAAAATCACTGTCCAAAACCTTTTTAGGAACATGTTTCAAACCATTTGGGGTTGGTTACACCAAAAAAAAATGTAAAATGAAAAAAAATATTTGGGGTGTTGTGGGAACTCATATATCATACCTATCATTTAGTCATTGTTTCAGGTAATTAACTGTTTTCTTATTGTGTTTACATTATTTTGTGTGCTCATTGCGGACATGTACATATGAGTCAGAATAGAAGGTTTAATGCTAACATGGGGGCAATTGACCACTGTGTCACAATGTATAGAACAGAGACTTTCAGTATAGAAGGATTTTGGCTTATGCTGAGAAGTGCCAAGGGTTGGTAAGTATGGTTTTAAACTGTTATGCCTTAACAGTCATTTATTTGAAGTGTGTATTATAATCACAACAGTCATTTATTAAAAGTGTTCCTTATAAAAGTGCTCTATGACCCTGACATATGCCTCAGATAATGATGTGCCTTTCATTAATAGATGTGCAGGTGCTAGTCAGAGATGTGAACAACAGGACGAGGGAGGAAGATCACTCTGTCCTGAGAAGATGGGGAGGTGTAAAGGGAGGGTTTGTATGCCCAGCAGTCTGCCCAGTGGGAACTCAGTGAAAGCTTGGAATACATGACGCAAATATGATAAAAAAGGAGACAAGCGCTGGATGCATCCAAGGTCAACTTCCCTGAAACCACGGTTTCCGTCAGGTAAAAAAAATAGAACAATACGTGCTTGTTTGTCCATAGAGAAACACTGGGGACTGCTGGTTATGTAAACTCTCCGCCCAAAAAGATAATGAGACGCCTCCTAGGGTATAACTATGTAGCGTTGGGGTCAAAAAGAGGGCTCAGGTTAGGTTTGGAGTTGGGCGCCAGACAGGGGAACTAATCATCCTATCATGAATTAATAAAAAAAATCAAAATACCCTGAGACTTAATCTAAAGAAATATACGACTAGCTTGATCGATACCCCTGCTACAAAATTTCAACAAAAGATTTGAGAGTAAAGAAAAAATACTTTTTATCAAAGTTAAATGTTCAATAAAGCAAAACAGGGACAAACAAACCAAGCAAAACAGCACAAAACCGTATTCAACAAAAAACAAATACAACTTTAAATAATAGTCCCAAGATCCTTAAAAAATAGCAAAAATGAGAAAATAAATGAGTGTGTGTGTGTGTGTGTGTGTGAAAAGTCCAGTTCTTTTGTATCTGTCCAAAATGTGAGTGTGTGAGTGATGTGTGTGTGTGTGTGTGTGTGTGTGTGTGGGGGGGGGGGGGGGGGGGGGGTGTTGTGTGGGTGTATGTGAAAAAAAAGAGTCCAGTTCAAGTTTGTTGGTATGTGGTGTGGAGTGTTGTAGGTGTATGGGGGGAGGGAGGTGGAAGGGAACAGGGAATCCAGACAGGGACCAAGAGGACGGGGAAAGCCGGGAAACAATTAACGTCAACTTATCTGAGCTGGTTTAACAGTCAAGGTTTTACTCCAGAATGAGGAGGCTCCGAGTGCCTGACCATTGACCCTTGAGATGGTCGGTTCCACACACTCCGGGGGGGTTTCTCCGTTGCTGGTGTCCTTTCAGTTTTATTTCTCCAGTCAGATCACAAACTTTTCTTTGTCTCACTTTCCTGTCACCTCTCTCCTGGCCCTGCACTGTCTGTCTGCTCTCTCCTTCTCTCAGCACTCAGGTGCATTCACTTACTCTGATGAGTGGCAAGCCCCTCCCCTTACCTCTGAGGAGGGAGGCCTGCCTCACTCTCCTTCTTGCCACACTCTCCCCCCCTTGATGAGACCGTGTATACTGGAAACTCAGTCTTCAAACTAAAACCCTAAAAAATCTTCTTCTCCTGAGCTTTCCTGTAGCAGGTCCATTATTCTTTTCCTTTCCATGACCTCCAAGTCCTCCGCACTGGGGTAGAAAGGTTTCAGGTTGCAGACATGCACAGTCCATGCATCCAAACCTGTGTCCTCCAGAACAACTTGGTAATTCAGAGGGCCAAGCTGTTGAACTACACGGTAGGGACCTCTCCACTTTTTGGCTAATTTAGCTGTGAATTTGTCCTTAGCCTTAGACAGAGGGAAATTCCTAACCCACACTCTCTGTTTGGGTTTGAAATCAACGTGGCGGCGATTTTTATTGTAGTTCCTCAGTTGCCTCTTCTTTGCTTTTTTCATGTTTTCCTCCACGTCTGTTTTCAGTTGTGTGAGATGATGCACAACGTCATATGCAGGCTCATCAGGGGATAAAATCCTGCCTTTCAGAACTTTATCCATCGGACTATTCAGCTTCCTGCCCATCTGCAGTTCAGCAGGCGTTACACCTGTAGTTTCCTGAACAGCGGAGTTTATGGCAAATCTGAATTCCGGAAGGTATTGATCCCATTTACCATGATTGTCATCCAAGTAAGAGGCTATCATACTTTTTAGAGTACGATTCACTCTTTCCGTCATATTGGTCTGTGGATGATATGCTGTGGTGAGCTTGGGAATCACAGTCCACTGGTTACAGAGTTCACGAAATATAGAAGACACAAATTGAGGTCCTCTGTCAGACAAGATGTAGTCAGGTATTCCCCATCTGGTGAAAATATCTTTCCTCAGGTAGCGGGCTATGGTCGTGGCTGTAGCCGTTCGCAGGCGGGTGAATTCCACCCAACGAGTGAAATAATCCATGATCACAAGCAAATATTCATTCCTTTCTGAACTTCGAGGTAACGGACCCATGAGGTCAATCCCAAGCATTTCATTCGGGCCATTGACAGTGGTTTGTTGCAACTTTCCAGCAGGTTTTTGGTTATCTGCTTTCAGACTTTGACAAACAACACATTGCTTGATAAAGAGTTTCACATCAGTCCACATTCCAGGCCAATATGCCACTTCATATAACCTTTTATAGGTTTTGAAGATTCCAGCATGTCCACTCAAGGGATTTTCATGATAGTTCATGAGCAATTGTTGAACCAGACTACGGGGAATGCAAAGCCGATAATGGAACTGGTTTTCAGATTTTTGTGTTTTATGATACAACTTTTCCTCCCGGATCACAAAATCCTGCTCTACTTTGACATCTCCTTCAGCAAGCTGTTTCATAACTTGCTCTATGTTTGTGTCCACATGTTGTTCTTCACAAATGGTTTTAAGGGATATCGGAGTAATCTCATCACCATTTGGAGAGTACAGACAAAGACCAACCTTAGATGGAATTCTTGAGAGGGCATCAGGAGCATCGTTCAACTTTCCTTTTCTGTACTCCACAATAAAGTCAAAACGTTGCAACCTCAGTGACCATCTAATCAAGCGACTTGTGGTTTTTGTTGATGAAAGGACCCACTTCAAGGCAGAGTGATCGGTAATGACAGTGAATAGCTTCAATTCAAGATAATGCTGCCATTTTTCCAGAGCCCAGATGACGGCAAGGCACTCCTTCTCTGTAACTGAGTAATTCCTTTCCGCTTGATTCAGGGTTCGACTTGCATAAGCAATAACTTCCTCAGTTCCATCGTCTTTTTTCTGAGTAAGCACCGCTCCAAGACCAATATCACTTGCGTCAGTATAGACTAAGAATGGATGGTCTGGATTAGGATGACCCAGGACAGGTGGAGAAATCAAGCTTGACTTGAGTTTGTCAAAGGAATACTGACATGCTGAACTCCAGATGAAAGGTTTTCCTTTCTTCTTTAGGTCATTCAAAGGCTGAGCAACTTTCGAGAAGTCTGGCACAAATTTATGATACCAGCCTGCCAGCCCCAAGAATCTCTGGACTTCCTTGAGATTTGTCGGCACCGGATAGGACCGAATTGCCTCGACCTTGTCAGGATCAGCGCTGACACCTTTACCAGAGACAATGTGTCCCAGAAATCTGATTTCTTTCAGACAGAACCTAGATTTCTTAAGATTAACAGTCAGATTCGCTTTGCAGAGACGATCGATTACAGTATGTAACCGCTCAAGATGTTGAGTCACAGATGATGAGTACACAATGATATCGTCTAGATAGACTAGACAGATATTTCCCCTGAGCCTTTCCAAGACTTTCTCCATTAGTCTTTGGAAAGTGGCGGGAGCATTTTTGAGTCCAAAGGGCATCACATTGAAGTGATACAGTCCACGATGGGTAATGAATGCAGTTTTTGCTTTGCTTTCAGGATCCATGGGTACTTGCCAGTATCCACTGTTCAAATCAATCGTAGAGAAGATTGTGGCTCCAGAAAGTGACTCAAGGATTTCATTGATGTTTGGGAGAGGATAGGCATCAGTTTCAGTGACAGCATTGACTTTTCGGAAATCAACACAGAATCTATGACCGCCATCTTTTTTTGGAGGTAAGACAACAGGAGATGCCCATCCTGAGTGAGAGGGTTCAATGACTCCAGTAGCCAGCATCTCACCTAATTGTTCTTCCACGATAACTTGCTTGACAGGTGAGAGTCTATAAGGTCTTTGTTTGATCGGCACACAGGCAGTGGTATAGATGGTGTGCTGCAAAACATCAGTCTTACCAGGCTGGTTAGTACAAACTTGTGGGCTAGACTCAAGGAGATTTCTTAACAGTTTCTTGTCACTGTCCTCCAAATGAGCATCCTTCACAGCAACATCGATGTAATCTTTCACATCCATTCGAGCAGGCTCCAGAGAGAGAATGGGAGGTGGAACAGAACTTATCAGTGAAAGATTCAGGGCTGATCGGTTGGGGGTCATTTGAGTGACTTTTTTGTCACGGTCTCTTGTCTGTGTGTAGTGGGCACTGCCAGGCTGGAATGGGTAAGCAACAGAGGGCATTGACTTAAAGCTATACTCCTTATCAGCCACATTGATGATCATTCCAACACTGGAAATGAGGTTCAGGCCAAGAACAACACTATACGCCAGAGCGTTTGGTCCCAATACCGCTACAGGTAAAGTGGAGGCATGTCCATGGAGAGCCATGGTGAGGTCTCCCCATCCAATGGGAGTAGCCGGTTCACCATTAGCCAGATACAGTGGACCTTCTGTCCAAGGTCGAAGGATGTCTCTGGTACCCTTCAGTTCCCGCCAAAGATACACATGAATGAGAGTGTAACTGGCCCCAGTGTCAACTATAGCTTTTCCATGCCATGAATTTATGGAGAGAGGCACAATAAGTTGTAGGGGACTAGAGGAAGAATCGGGTGGAGGGCCAGAACTCTCTGAGGTGGATCCATTCCTCTGTGTTTGCCGAGTTGGCTGCTTTCCAGATTTTCTTGATTTTACAAGGGAGACAGAGCCATTTCCAGGCAGAGCTTTTGTCTTTGGTGGGCGTGACAAGTGTTTAGGTATCCTGGGAGAATGACTGAATGTGTCTGGTGTGCTGTAATGTGGACAAGAGCCAGGAAGGTGGTTACCTTTACATCTCCAGCATAAGACAGGTGGTCTGTTCTTTTCAACAGGTGGACCTGAGTGCATGGTTTTAGAAAGAGGATTAATGGTTTTAGCACACATTCTTGAATTGTACTCAATCTGCTGTTCATGATCTTTTTCAAGTTGATGACCAAGGCGCACCAGATCTTCCACAGTGTCAACACGACCCCGGAGTTGACTAGCAAGAAAAGGTTTGATGTTTTTCAGAATCATCTTAACAATCTTAGCTTCTGTGAGAGAGGGTTTCCATCTTTTACAAAGAGCTCTATATGAGAAAGCAAAGTCTCTGATAGTTTCATTTTCATGCTGTTTCTTGGTTCGAACACGCTCTGCTAATTCATCCTCATAATCTTCTGCAAGGAAAGCTGCAAGGAAAACTGTCTCAAATTGATTCCAAGTAACAACCTTAGATCGGGCAATTTCCCACCAGTCGCGGGCTGTTCCCCGGAGAACAGTTCTGAAAGTGGCAAGAATATCAGCATCTGACAAAGGATGAAGAGCAAGAAAGTCATGACACTTTGACAGATAACTGAGGGGATCAGGATCATCATGTATCCCACCATATGTAGGAAAGGTTAACTTAATGTGATCACTCTTTGTAACCGCTAAATTAGGGGCTGCAAGTGAGGTTGGAGTTTTCTCCCCTGAACAAGGACTGGAACACGGATAAGCAGAGGTAGATTTACCTTCTACCAAAAAAGATTCGAGTCGTCTGTCCAGTAAGATGATTTTCTGTTCAAGGTTTTGCATTTGTTCTTTCCTCTCCGTTTCTTCTTTTCCAAGTTGGATGGTCAGTTTTGTGATTGCAGAGCTACTTTCGTTAACTGTGTCTACCAATTGACAGATACTTTCCTGAGCAGTAGTGTGAAAGCATTTCATTTCCTTCTGAAGTTCCACTTGAAGTTGTTCGACCATGAAGCGAATTTCTGAAAGAAGAGATGTCTCGGAGTTTTTCAGCTCTTCGTCCACAACCATTTTAATTCCTTTCACAAGTTTATCCATTTCCGTTTCCACACTTTCCTTATGAGAAATGATATGTGACAGAGGCAGACAATGATTGTCACGGGTTTTATTCATTAGATCTTGAAAGTGTTTAGAAGAAGATGTTTGAATTCCTTCAACACACTCTGTCAGGTGTTTCATTGCAACACTTTGTGTTTCCATTTGTTTATGGATCCTATCCCAACCTTCCTGGGTTTTTTCTGCAATTTGGTTTAAGTTCCGTGCAGGAGTGGGGAGGGTTTTTGGGAGTTCGCACTGAGACTGAGACAGTGAATATGGGGACGAGGCTGAAAGCGCGAAATGGCCTCCTCCTGGGTCAGGCAAAGAAGGTACCGCTTCTGTTTCCCAAGTAAGTGACTGGTTTAGTGACTGGGCAGGTTCAAAGTGGGAGGGAAATTGGGCAAGGTCATGAGTTTCAGATGCCTTTACTGAAGGGGGCAGTGGTGTCTGAAAATATGTTTGCAAGTGTGCACTAAATGCTGTGTCTGTGCCATAAACACGTACAGGTGTCTGCACATCAGGAGCTTCTATATCAAGGTCACCAAGAGACTTCTGATTAGACATTTTGTGTTAAGCAGAGAATGAATTACTTTTTCAAGAAATGACCACATTCAAGTAGAATTTGTCACCACAATCAAAATCATGCCACAAAAACAGTTACTCAATCAATTGATTCAATCAAAGTTCAATCAAGATTCAATATTCAAAGCGATCAGGTGTAATTCAACCCCAATTAATGGTAATAGAATAAATGAAATAATGAAATAATCACATGGTTAGAACCGAAACAATTAACTCAGCACATTTCGTGGTTTAGGCCCCACATTGTGCGCCATTTCTGTAGCGTTGGGGTCAAAAAGAGGGCTCAGGTTAGGTTTGGAGTTGGGCGCCAGACAGGGGAACTAATCATCCTATCATGAATTAATAAAAAAAATCAAAATACCCTGAGACTTAATCTAAAGAAATATACGACTAGCTCGATCGATACCCCTGCTACAAAATTTCAACAAAAGATTTGAGAGTAAAGAAAAAATACTTTTTATCAAAGTTAAATGTTCAATAAAGCAAAACAGGGACAAACAAACCAAGCAAAACAGCACAAAACCGTATTCAACAAAAAACAAATACAACTTTAAATAATAGTCCCAAGATCCTTAAAAAATAGCAAAAATGAGAAAATAAATGAGTGTGTGTGTGTGTGTGTGTGTGTGTGTGTGTGTGTGTGTGAAAAGTCCAGTTCTTTTGTATCTGTCCAAAATGTGAGTGTGTGAGTGATGTGTGTGTGTGTGTGTGTGGGGGGGGGGGGGGGGGAATGTTGTGTGGGTGTATGTGAAAAAAAAGAGTCCAGTTCAAGTTTGTTGGTATGTGGTGTGGAGTGTTGTAGGTGTATGGGGGGAGGGAGGTGGAAGGGAACAGGGAATCCAGACAGGGACCAAGAGGACGGGGAAAGCCGGGAAACAATTAACGTCAACTTATCTGAGCTGGTTTAACAGTCAAGGTTTTACTCCAGAATGAGGAGGCTCCGAGTGCCTGACCATTGACCCTTGAGATGGTCGGTTCCACACACTCCGGGGGGGTTTCTCCGTTGCTGGTGTCCTTTCAGTTTTATTTCTCCAGTCAGATCACAAACTTTTCTTTGTCTCACTTTCCTGTCACCTCTCTCCTGGCCCTGCACTGTCTGTCTGCTCTCTCCTTCTCTCAGCACTCAGGTGCATTCACTTACTCTGATGAGTGGCAAGCCCCTCCCCTTACCTCTGAGGAGGGAGGCCTGCCTCACTCTCCTTCTTGCCACAACTATTAACTACTGAAAAATAGTAATCAGACCACCTCAGAGATACCATTGGGTTGATGTTGTGCTCTCCAAGATATCTTGTGTTATTTGATGTGCCGAAATAAAAGGTTTGTTGAAGACACCTTTTTGCCTCAGTGAATCCTCTGTTCCAGTCTCCATCAACGGACTCGGGGAAGTTTGAAATAACTTCAACAATTTTGGGGGCTCGTCCGGGATGGAGTTCTGACAGAGCTTTTGAATTGGAGAAAACTGTTCAGTGCATCAGAGGAAAAGAGATCTGGTCGACCACAAAATAAAGTAAGCAGAAAACCTTTTTAACAGAATTTCTGCCTATTTGTGTTACTCTAAATCAAAGATCTCTTGAACTCTGTATATACTGAATCTTAAATTTATTACGAGGCTCATGATATTGTACTGGTACATCTTGTGATATTCTGTGTTCTGACGAAGAGAGAAACTATGTGTGAAATGAAAAGTGAAACTTAAGAGAAGCCTGTGTGAAGGCCGCGAAAAGAGTCATAAGGACCACCGCTCTTGGTTGTGGCGGACCCCCCTAGTGGCTCGACGGGGCGCTAGTTGAGCTGGGTTGCAAACCCCGGGGACTTGGAGCCCCCCGAAAAGAAGTGTGTGATACTGTTGAATTCTGTGCGAGTTGATATGCCGCACAGAAAAATTCAGTGGAGACTGAGTTTCTCTCTGCTGTGTGATTGTTGAATTTAGTGCGAGGAGCTGTGCCGCACAAAAGTCAGTACAGACTGACTTTGTCTTTGCTGTGTGATATTGTTGAATTTAGTGCGAGAAGCTGTGCCGCACAAAAAGTCAGTACAGACTGACTTTGTCTTTGCTGTGTGATATTGTTGAATTTAGTGCGAGGAGCTGTGCCGCACAAAAAGTCAGTACAGACAGACTTTGTCTTTGCTGTGTGATATTGTTGAATTTAGTGCGAGGAGCTGTGCCGCACGAAAAAAAAAAAGAAAAAAGTCAGTGGTGACTGGCTTTGCCTCTGCTGTGTGATACAGTTGAAACCTGTGCGAGGAGTTCTGCCGTACAGAAAAAGTTCAGTGGAGGATAACTTTCTCTCTGCTGTGTGACATTATTGAAGCCTGTGCGTGAATTGTGACTGTTTTGACCACATATATGCTGAAAATTGAACAAAGTGGTGTCTTGGAGAAAACCTCACACAAAGTGTCTCAGTACTACACTGAAAGGGTCAGTTGCTCGGAACGAACATGTCATACAAACTGACCGGCTTTGTGAAGGCCTCCAATAAGGCTGGTTGCCCGAAAACGGAAGTGTCATACAAACCAGCCGGCCATTAAAGAGACGTTGCTGTTGTTGGGATGGATGGTGAATTTGATCGTGAGGTAGATGATGATGGGTGGGGCCCGTTATCTCTACAGGCAGAGTGGATCTTAAAGGGCATAGGGAAAGAAGATGGAGTTGTGGTGACAGCGAAAGGGAGGGAAAAGTATGCTGATATGCTGCTAGAGCTTATCGAAGGGAGGGAAAATGAAAGATCCTCACTAGGAGATCTCATCTGGGCACGTGGGAAAGAAGAGCTAGCAAAAGGAGAAGCAGCAAGGAAGAAAGCAGCGCTAGGCAGCATTTTGCTCCGCAGAAAATATAAACAGGCCGTAAAAAAGCATTTTTGAAGACTTGCTAGGCGGCAGACGTTGGGAGTAGCCCACAGAGGGAGAGAGCATCTTACTAATGTAAAAAAGGCAGCTGAGAAAGGTTTGACAGGGATTACCCCCACCCCAAATACAGACATGAGATTATTCAAATCAGCACACACACACAGTAAGACACAGAAGGACACACCCACCAACACAAAGGGTGCCACCCCAGCTCCGCCTCCACCAGCTACCCCTCCCTCTATCTATCCTGCCTCCTCCCACCGCTGAACCAACGAATCCTCTCTCAGGTCTCCACCCCTCAGCTCCGCCTCCCACAGCTCCGCCTCCCAAAGCTCCGCCTCTACCCCCACCTTACCACTCCGCTCAGTCTGGTTTTCACAGAAAAAAACTCTCACCCACTAATCCTTTTGTGAGCACTGCTCTCTACCCAGTGATCATCATCAATGAAGGACATCTGTAGATTGACATACCCCCCACCATGATGCCTCAACAGCCGGACCCCTCCCTGACTTCTCACATTCCTGGACACAAGGCACCATCCATGGCCTCTAGGACTTTTGGTACCACCACCATCGACCTCTCAGACTACGAGGACAGAGAAGGCAACGATACCTACCGAGACATGGATGAAAACAGCGATTCTGAAGCCGAGGACAGTGAGGAGGAAGAGGAGGACCAGCTCGATGCACCATTCGGAGACCGTCAGGCCCGCTTTTTGAGTAAGTTTAAAAAAGAATTACAATTTAAATCTTTGCCCACACCAGATTCACTGCCCACTCCGGAGCCACAGCAGAGATCCACCCCCAGGGGACAGGTTAAGACAGTGATACCATCCCCGAACAGAGGCTCACAGAGTTCACAAAGTTGCCCTGCACGGCCCAACTCATGGTAAGAGGTACATATGAACCCAATCCTACCAGGAGCACTCTCAATAAAATACTGCAAGACACCCTAGATGTTACAGGTGCAGAGCTCATGCGCAGCAGAGTGGAGGAGGAACTCAGACAGGAAGTGAGAGACGAAATGCTCAGCACCATGAGAGATGAGATGCAGAGGACCATCAGAGGCTCCACCGTCAACTATACGGATGACACGGACGCCAGTGAAGCCACAATGAAACAATAAAAAATGAAAAAAATATATTTTGGGTGTTCGGGCTTCCTGAAGGTAATACCCAGGTATTAGGTTATTGGGCTAGGGTAAGGTTTAAGGTTTTTGGCGTGAGGGTAAAAATCACTGTCCAAAACCTTTGTAGGAACTCTTTTCCAACCTTTTGGAGTTAGTTACACCAAAAAAAAAACGAAAAATGAAAAAAAATATTTTGGGTGTTCAGTCTTCCTGAAGGAAATACCCGGGTATTAGGTTATGGGGCTTTGGTAAGGTTTAAGGTTTTTGGCGTTAGGGTTAAAATCACTGTCCAAAACCTTTTTAGGAACATGTTTCAGAACTTTTGGAATTGGTTACATCAAAAAAAAATGTAAAATGAAAAAAAATATTTGGGGTGTTCGGGCTTCCTGAAGGAAATACCCGGGTAGTAGGTTATGGGGCATTGGTAAGGTTTAAGGTTTTTGGCGTTAGGGTTAAAATCACTGTCTAAAACCTTTTTAGGAACTCTTTTCCAACCTTTTGGAGTTAGTAAGACCAAAAAAAAGAAAAATGAAAAAAAATATTTGGGGTGTTCAGTCTTCCTGAAGGTAATACCCGGGTATTAGGTTATGGGGTTAGGGTTTAAGGTTTTTGGCGTTACGGTTAAAATCACTGTCCAAAACCTTTGTAGGAACTCCTTTTCAACCTTTTGGAGTTAGTTAGAACAAAAAAAAAAAAAAAAAAGGAACAAGAAATATTTGGGGTTTTCGGAATTCCTGAAGGTAATACCGGGGTATTAGGTGATGGGGCTAGGGTAAGGTTTAAGTTTTTGGAGTTTGGGTTAAAATCACTGTCCAAAACCTTTGTAGGAACTCTTTTCCAACCTTTTGGAGTTAGTTAGACCAAAAAGAAATCAAAAATAAAAAAACATATTTGGGGTGTTCGGGCTTCCTGAAGGTAATACCCAGGTATAAGGGTAATGGGGCTAGGATCAGGTTTAAGGTTTTTGGCGTTAGGGTTAAAATCACTGTCCAAAACCTTTTTTGGAACATATTTCAGACCTTATGGAGTTAGTTACACCAAAAAAAAATTGTAAAATCAAAAAGAAATATTTGGGGTGTTTGGGCTTCCTGAAGGTAATACCCGGGTATAAGGTTATGGGGCTAGGGTAAGGTTTAAGAATTTTGGCGTTAGGGTTAAAATCACTGTCCAAAACCTTTGTAGGAACTCTTTTCCAACCTTTTGGAGTTAGTTAGACCACAAAAAAATTGTAAAAAGGAAAAAAATATTTGGGGTGTTCGGGATTCCCGAAGGTAATACCCCGGGTATTAGGTAATGGGGCTAGGGTCAGGATTAAGGTTTTTGGCGTGAGGGTTAAAATCCCTGTCCAAAACCTTTGTAGGAACTCTTTTCCAACCTTTTGGACTTAGGTAGACCAAAAAAAAAAAAAAAATGAAAAAAAAAATCTTTGGGGTGTTCGGGCTTCCTGAAGGTAATACCCGGGTATTAGGTTATGGGGCTAGGGTCGGGTTTAAGGTTTTTGGCGTTACGGTTAAAATCACTGTCCAAAACCTTTGTAGGAACTCTTTTCCAACGTTTTGGAGTAAGTTAGACCCAAAAGAAATGAAAAATGAAAAAAAAAAATATTTGGGGTTTTCGGGCTTTCTGAAGGTAATACCCTGGTATAAGGTTATGGGGCTAGGGTAAGGTTTAAGGTTTTTGGCGTTACGGTTAAAATCACTGTCCAAAACCTTTGTAGGAACTCTTTTCCAACGTTTTGGAGTAAGTTAGACCCAAAAGAAATGAAAAATGAAAAAAAAAATGTTGGGGGTTTTCGGGCTTTCTGAAGGTAATACCCTGTTATAAGGTTATGGGGCTAGGGTAAGGTTTAAGGTTTTTGGTGTTAGGGTTAAAATCACTGTCCAAAACCTTTGTAGGAACTCTTTTCCAACCTTTTGGAGTTAGTTACACCAAAAAAAAAATGTAAAATGAAAAAAAAATATTTGGGGTGTTCGGTTTTCCTGAAGGTAATACCCGAGTTTTAGGTTTTGGGGCTAAGTTAAGGTTTAAGGTTTTTGGCGTTAGGGTTAAAATCCCTGTCCAAAACCTTTGTAGGAACTCTTTTCCAACCTTTTGCAGTTAGTTAGACCACAAAAAAACAAAAAAATATTTGGGGTGTTCGGTCTTCCTGAAGGTAATACCCGGGGTTTAGGTTATGGGGCTAGGGAAAGGTTTAATGTTTTTGGCGTTAGGGTTAAAATCACTGTCCAAAACCTTTTTAGGAACATGTTTCAGACCTTATGGAGTTAGTTACACCAAAAAAAATATTGTAAAATGAAAAAGAAATATTTGGGGTGTTCGGTCTTCCTGAAGGTAATACCCGGGTATTAGGTTATGGGGCTAGGGTAAGGTTTAAGGTTTTTGGCGTTAGGGTTAAAATCACTGTCCAAAACCTTTGTAGGAACTCTTTTCCAACCTTTTGGAGTTAGTCAGACCCAAAAGAAATGAAAAATGAAAAAAAAATATTTGGGGTTTTCGGGCTTTCTGAAGGTAATACACTGGTATAAGGTTATGGGGCTAGGGTAAGGTTTAAGGTTTTTGGCGTTGGGGTTAAAATCCCTGTCCAAAACCTTTGTAGGAACTCTTTTCCAACCTTTTGGAGTTAGTTAGACCAAAATAAAACAAAAAATGAAAAAAAAATATTTGGGGTGTTCGGGCTTCCTGAAGGTAATACTCGGGTATTAGGTTATGGGGCTAGGGTAAGGTTTAAGGTTTTTGGCGTTAGGGTTAAAATCACTGTCCAAAACCTTTGTAGGAACTCTTTTCCAACCTTTTGGAGTTAGTTAGACCAAAATAAAACAAAAAATGAAAAAAAAATATTTGGGGTGTTCGGGCTTCCTGAAGGTAATAGGTTATGGGGGGTTATGGGGCTAGGGTAAGGTTTTTGGCGTTAGGGTTAAAATCACTGTCCAAAACCTTTGTAGGAACTCTTTTCCAAACTTTTGGAGTTAGTTAGACCAAAAAAAAAATTGTAAAATGAAAAAGAAATATTTGGGGTGTTCGGGATTCCTGAAGGTAATACCTGGGTATTAGGTTATGGGGCTAGTGAAAGGTTTAAGGTTTTTGGCGTTAGGGTTAAAATCACTGTCCAAAACCTTTGTAGGAACTCTTTTCCAACCTTTTGGAGTTAGTTAGACCAGAAAAAAATTAAAAATGAAAAAAAAAATATTTGGGGTTTTCGGGCTTTCTGAAGGTAACACCCTGGTATAAGGTTTTGGGACTAATGTAAGGTTTAAGGTTTTTGGCGTTAGGGTTAAAATCACTGTCCAAAACCTTTGTAGGAACTCTTTTCCAACCTTTTGGAGTGAGTTAGACCAAAATAAAACAAAAAATGAAAAAGAAATATTTGGGGTTTTCGGGCTTTCTGAAGGTAATACCCTGGTATAAGGTTATGGGACTAATGTAAGGTTTAAGGTTTTTGGCGTTAGGGTTAAAATCCCTGTCCAAAACCTTTGTAGGAACTCTTTTCCAACCTTTTGGAGTTAGTTAGACCAAAAAAAGAAAAAAAAAAGGAACAAGAAATTTTTGGGTTTTTCGGGCTTCCTGAGGGTAATACCCGAAAATTAGGTAATGGGGCTAGGGTAAGGTTTAAATGTTTTTGGAGTTAGGGTTAAAAATCACTGTCCAAAACATTTGTAGGAACTCTTTTCCAACCTTTTGGAGTTAGTAAGACCAAAAAGAAATCAAAAATAAAAAAACATATTTGGGGTTTTCGGGCTTCCTGAAGGTAATACCCAGGTATAAGGGTAATAGGTTATGGGGCTAGTGAAAGGTTTAAGGTTTTTGGCGTGAGGGTTAAAATCCCTGTCCAAAACCTTTGTAGGAACTCTTTTCCAACCTTTTGGAGTTAGTAAGACCAAAAATAAACGAAAAATAAAAAAAAAATATTTGGGGTTTTCGGTCTTCCTGAAGGTATTAGATTATGGGGCTAGGGAAAGGTTTAAGGTTTTTGGCGTTAGGGTTAAAATCACTGTCGAAAACCTTTTTAGGAACATATTTCAGACCTTATGGAGTTAGTTACACCAAAAAAAAATTGTAAAATGAAAAAGAAATATTTGGGGTGTTTGGGCTTCCTGAAGGTAATACCCGGGAATAAGGTTATGGGGCTAGGGTAAGGTTTAAGGTTTTTGGCGTTAGGGTTAAAATCACTGTCCAAAACCTTTGTAGGAACTCTTTTCCAACGTTTTGGAGTTAGTTAGACCCAAAAAAAAAGAAAAATGAAAAAAAAATATTTGGGGTTTTCGGGCTTCCTGAAAGTAATACCCGAGTATTAGGTTTTGGGGCTAGGGTAAGGTTTAAGTTTTTTGGCATTAGGGTTAAAATCACTGTCCAAAACCTTTGTAGGAACTCTTTTCCAACCTTTTGGAGTTAGTTAGACCAAAAAAAAAATTGTAAAATGAAAAAGAAATATTTGGGGTGTTCGGGCTTCCTGAAGGTAATACCCGGGTTTTAGGTTATGGGGCTAGGGAAAGGTTTAATTTTTTTGGCGTTAGGGTTAAAATCACTGTCCAAAACCTTTTAAGGAACATTTTTCAGACCTTATGGAGTTAGTTACACCAAAAAAAACAATTGTACAATGAAAAAAAAATATTTGGGGTTTTCGGTCTTCCTGAAGGTAATACCCGGGTATTAGGTTATGGGGCTTTGGTAAGGTTTAAGGTTTTTGGCATTATGGTTAAAATCACTGTCCAAAACCTTTGTAGGAACTCTTTTCCAACCTTTTGGAGTTAGTGAGACCAAAATAAAACAAAAAATGAAAAAAAAATATTTGGGGTGTTCAGTCTTCCTGAAGGTAATACCCGGGTATTAGGTTACGGGGCTAGGGTAAGGTTTAAGGTTTTTGGCGTTAGGGTTAAAATCACTGTCCAAAACCTTTGTAGGAACTCTTTTCCAACCTTTTGGAGTTAGATAGACCAAAATAAAACAAAAAATGAAAAAAAATATTTGGGGTGTTCAGTCTTCCTGAAGGTAATACCCGG